GCTGTCCCTAACATCAATCAATTCATTCACGGATGTAGAAGACAAGAAACAACTTCAGAAGTAATCACGACGAAAATTTTAACAAAATTATGCAATAACAACAAGGTACGAAAACAACGAGTAAACACAATGAATCCAGAAAACACCAATTGATATGACACACCACACGTAAATACAAACAGTACAAACAAACTCGCAGATCGTGTCTCGATGGAATTCCTTTGAAGAATCTCAGGACTTACACCAGTACGCCTACAATCCTTCTCACGCTGACGATTGTAAGTTGTGGAATGTCCGGACACAAACAAGATTGACCAACAATTACATCAATTGGAACTCACACAATTATTTAACACAAACATATGTACAATCAACACATCAAATGTTGTGGATTCTGCCTGACGAACTACCCTTGAAGAACTGTAGGACTTACAGCCGTACGCCTACATTCCTTCACAGGTTGATGATCCAAGTGGAAGTCGTCCGGACACAAACAGAATTACCAACAGCTAGATGACAGATGATATCCATTCAGTATATACAATATGAACATATGTACAAAATCACACACCAAGCACATTGGACTGCTCATTGATGCGCTACCCTTTGAAGAATTGTAGGACTTACAGCAGTACGCCTACAACCCTTATCAGGTTGACGCCCTAGGTTGGAAAATCGTCGCAGAGTTCATTTGCTGACTTCCTTCTATCAGCTATATCCTCAAATCTGAACGGAAACACGCTCATGTCATTGTATCGTAGAATATAGATGACGAACAAACATACGACGTATCTGGTCAACCAAGCGTAGGCACAGAGTAATTTACACCAAAGATAATAACATTCAAATAGTAACTTGAAACTAGAAATGCCTTTTTTCGTGCAAGTCAATTTAACAATTACTCTCTCGTACACACTTGGCTTATCCTCACTAAACTGAGCAATATCTTTCGTCTTTTCAAATGCACCAATACTATCATAGTCATTGCACAAGATACTTGAGTTGATGGGCGTCTGTTTCATTGTGGATGACAGCACCGACGACGACTGATTGATATCAGTTCATGAAGTTAGCGGTGGATCAAAAGCTTTTGTTTCTCGACTTTCAGAAATTTTTCTACCTGCAAGACCACCACCACTGCTGTCTTTTACTATCAGCTCAGGTTTAGAACTAGCATCTGATGATAGGTGGGCTACATGCTGATCAATCACACTGACGGTCTCACAAGTACGCATGCCTTCTGCAACTGCACCTGCATTTATTTCTACTTCACGTTCAAGTTGTACAGAACCTTTGTTCAACTTAGCAGTAATAGGCATATCCCTCATCTCACCATGATCAACCAAAGACATACTTGATCATAGAGACAATATCATTTATGAATACAATGAATAGGGTAGGGCCAAGAACACTACCTTGTATCACGCCGCTGGTTATCGGTTTGGATGTTGATAAGTGATGGTTGACTTTAACTAACTGTTCTCTTCCTGTAAGAAAGGAAGTTATCCACTCAAGAAGCCTTCCACTTATTCCATAAGATAGGAGTTTCAGTATGAGTCTTTTATGTGGGACTTTATCAAAAGCTTTCCTAACATCTAGAAATAATGTTGCTGCCGAACGACCTTTGTCTACACATTCAGTAATGTGGTCGAAATAATCTAACTGGCACGTAATGCACGATCTTCTATTTAGGAAACCGTATTGGAAAGGGGATATTAAGTCATTCGAGAGCAAATACTGAACAATTTGCTTCTTTACAATCTTTTCCATCACACGTGAAACTACGGAAGTAATGTTGATGGGGCGGTAATTATCTATGTCCGCTGTAGGTCCGGTTTTGTGAATGGGTACAACGTAGGATTTCTTCCAGCTATTTGGATATGTTCCACTCCTTATCGAAGTTGAAAATATCTTGAGAAGAAGTAGATTCATGTCATTTCCACCATTTTTTAAGAGGACGGAAGACATTCCATCTGGGCCGGGAGTATTAGTAAGCTTAAGAGTTGTGATAGCTTTATCGATTTCTTGGGCGTTTAAGACTACATCGCTTAGACACTTTTCTGTTTTACGAGGGAAATCTATATCCTGGTCATTTTCTAGAGTGTACAGTTTGGCAAAGTGCGTGCTAAACACCTCACATATATCCTCAGCACTTTCGTGAGTAATGCCACCTAGGTGTATTATTTTTGGATATGTTGATTTGGAGTTAGTTAACCTACTTTTGAAGAGTTTGGCTATTTCTCCAGTGTTATGTGGCGACTGAATTGCCCGCGTTTCTTTATTCCTAAGACTTAGATTTTTTAACTCATGGATTCTAATGAGGATTGTTTTGATAGCGATTAACGACGATAAGTCGTCATGTCTATAGTAACTTAATGAATGCTTCCGCAAACTTCTTCTTAATGATATTGGAATAAAATCACCTTGAGGGATTTTGAATTTAATCAGTTTCACAGGCGCTATGACATCATTAACCGACTGTATATTGTCATAGAAGTTTTTAAGGACTTCCTCTAAGGAGTCATTGGTAAAGTAGGAATCCCAATTAGAGTATCTAATCAAGTCCTGATACAAGTCCCAATCAACCCGCGTGTATGGTCTTATAGGTGTCCGACTAACTTCGTTTCTGTGTATAGTTTCTGGGGAAATGTTAAACGAACATGCAACTATTTTATGATCGCTACCTGGGAATTCATGTCCCACATGAATTGTAGATGGTGCTACGTTGATCGTGAATATAAGATCAAGAATGTTATTGGACCTAGTGGGTACATTTATGTGTTGCGTCCATCCTCCAGTAATGATGGAATTAAGAAGATTATCATACCTCGAGGGTCCACGAAGTGTACGCCATGATATATCAGGCAAATTGAAGTCACCTCCAATTATATTATAACTGAAGGGGAGATTGGATGCAACACTAAATATGTTGCTGAGTACGTTATCGTATTCGCGGTTGGATGATGGCGGTCGGTATACGCACCCTATAAGGATAGGTTTACTTCTGAGAACTTTTATTTCGACCCACACCGAATCATTAAGTTGTGACAGAATAGGGTGACTAAAATGCGTTGCACAAATGGGTTGTTTAACGTATATGAGTGTTCCACCCCCACGACCTGTTTCCCTATCCCCTCGAAAAAGATTGTACTTATCAATTGATAAGCTACCATCCACAATGTCACTTGAGCACCAGGCTTCAGTGATCATGATCAGCGACGGATTGCATATAGAGGCTAACGTACATAATGCTAAATGTTTGTTAAGAACTGATCTAGCATTTATGAGGATGACGGATAGACTTTGACGAAGTGGTTTTAGTGTATGGGCAATTAGAGGGGGGCTGGCTAACAATGGGTTTATGTAGTGGATGGGCAGAATAATATCGAACACCTCGTTGTGTTGTTTGCATAGAAGTAGCGATTAGATATAATTGGCTTTCCACTTGAGACCAATTGCGCCTACCTCTAGCAGCTTTGTCTACCATAATTAGCTTTCTCTTAGTGAGATGGCTTAGAGGTGTTTGCGTCACTACCATATCAATGGGCCTTCGTTATCCGTGCTCGGAATTTAATTACTTTACTTCTTTTTCCCCTTTCTTATGTTTAAATGGTTGATGATGGCTAACAGGGCAGCCAGCATATGCTATATAGGGTTTTCTTAGTGGAAATGGGACGTTTGTCATAACGCCCACAGAACTTGCTAACTTGGGTAGCCATATTAGACTGGTACTTCACAGTGGATGGACTGTCAGACTGAGGAGTAACTGACTTATAAGGAGATGGGTGGAACATAAGTAGAATGGGTTTTGATGTTTCCTGGCTCTTGACATTTGTGTCAGTGTACAAATGATATATTTTAACATAGCGTTCAGTTGATTCATTTAACATTTCAACATTTAAGTGTCAACATCAGTATCCTTATGTATTACTTGGCTAACATTTGTCTGTGCCTGACGAAATGTCTGATGTACATGGTCATCAGGTATATTGCTAGATTTAATACTGCAAGAAGGATAATATACAGCAGCCCTATTAAGGCTATCAGTATTCGGTGTTCCTGGGTGGCATCGTCTTTGACACGGTGCAAATCAGGTGCAACCGTAATGTTAATGTAGAGTGTTAAAGAGCCTATTATCTCACCAGATTTCGGAAAATTCTTAGATTCTCCTATAGACCGAAATTTTGGAAAGCACCTGACATGACTGGTTCTCAGATTTTTTACGAAGACGTAAAACCTGACATTTTGTTAACGACAAATTACAAGCCTTTAGGCATGAAGTTTTAAGTTTGGCAATAAGCTCTCTGTTTGGAGTGTTATAAACCAAGAAGTTATGCGAAAACGTAATCGTCTTAGCAGCTCCTTCAGACAAGTAGTCAATTATGCGCTCGGATTTGGTACGGGATTCTATACAGATGTTTTGTGATGAGTTACACAGCTGCGTGAGAGATTTAATGCTGTCAAACTTGCTTTGTAGGTCCGTGGTTTATTTCTAAAGTAACAGCAAATCATTTTTGCTCCAAGCCGCACTATCTACCAGATCCTCCATGGTATCAGATACCATAACTTTTGATGCGTCTGGTGTCAAAAGTGTAGAATCGTCTACTGAACTGAGGCCCTCAGATGGCTGACGAGTATTAGATCTCAGTCTCTTAACGGCACTTACACGTTTGACACACTTGACCGTATATACAATCTTTGTGATATGCATATATTAAGTTCAGTGCTAGAATCTAGTATTGCAGGTAATAACATGTTAAAGGACGTAGATTTCCTACTATTACACATTCGAAAGCTCTCGGCAAAAGCTGACCAATAAAGCAGTCAATCTTTATAAGCTTTGACCAAATTAAATCACCCTGTCAAGCCCCTTATGAAATAAAGTACTAAGAACACCAGTGTTAATTGTACTATCATTATTAAGGTGCCACAGAAAAAACTGATCATATTGTACAAGCAACAAATATTGAATGTTGAATGACCGTGTAACTATCAAGTCTGTTTTAATCACCGTGTGCTCTGTCAGCAAACATGTCTTCGATGGAGGGTGAACATGCGGATTTTGATGATGATCATGATAGGGACGAGGGTTTTCCTGACGAAGACACTCCATTTCATTCAGATAACGCCTTTTCAGATGACGGGCGTTATCAGGATGATGGCCGGTACCCTGACGACCGTTATCCTGATGACTCACCTGTGCATAAACATGATGACCGTTACCAAGGTGGTGGACCCCGTCAAATGAGGATGATGAGGTAACGCTTGATGAGTTTAGAGTTTTGAAATTTGGTTTTTAATGTACCGACATAACTCACTTTCGTGTTTGGACTTTCAGACCTCAGTTCCGCCCAAGGTTTCAGGGTGGTTACCGTGGGCATCCCCGAATGCAATGCATGGCGGCCGGTGGGTATTTTGTTCTTTACTGATTTCCTTTTTAGAGGAAATTTTATGCGGCCAGGAATGGGTCACCATCGTGGTCCGGCTTATGATGGTTATGGCCCACCTCCGATGGGTATGCAAAGAGGATATCCACCTAGATTCAGTCCTCAGTATCCAGGACGTTATCAAGGTGTGAATGATGATCAGATGGATGAGCAAATGGATGATTCTCACCCACCAAACGATATGAACTATTCAGGTCATGGAGGGGATATGCAGATGCATCCCAATAATTTTTCGAATATGCAGCATATGCGCATGCGTGGTCCACCACCACCATTCATGTCCAACAACAAGTCAATGCCTCCTGATCACCAGCAGCCCTCGGCAGTTCCACCCCCTGGATCAGCCTCATCAGGGCCTCAGAACTATAGTGGAAATGCCCCGCCATTTAATAACAATCAGGGGCCTCACTATGGAGGACCTCAGTCTACGTTCGGCGGGCCTCCTGGTCCTCAATACTCAGGGTCCCAAAACGCACCGCCTTTCAGTGGTCAACCTTTCAATGGACCACCCGGCTCTCAGTACAACGGTCCTCAATACAATGGTCCACCTGTGTCCCAGATGAACTCATCCTCTTGTGATTCTAACGCGGGGCCACCAGCAGGCGTTCAATTTGCACCACCCGTCAGACCTTATGGGGCACCTGGTCCTTATCCCGTGCCTCCTGCTCCTTTCGGTCCTCCTGGACAGGGACCCCAAAGCACTGGTTCGTTCAATGGATCTTCACAGTTCCCAGGAGGTCCTAACTGTCCTCCAACGACTACTCCACAAGGTGCCACCAACAACATGCCTCCACTAGCCGGTGCTCCTGTTCCTGTCGCACCACCGGTTGCAGCTCCTGCTCCAGTTTGTCCTCAGACAACGGCTCAGCCACCAGGCACTCAAACTCCTGCTGCTCCAGTGACAGCTCCACCGGCAGTCCAGCCACCTGTTTCAAATGCACCTCCACCGTTTCCTTTTCCAGCTCCAATCCCGTCGGGTACTGATGGTAAGTTGGATAACATGCGTTTATCTGGTAGTACTATTGCGAGACAGTCATCATCAGCAAATGTTTTTACACTGTCAGCAAACTTAATTGGTTTTTTATTCTCACAGCTCCACATTTCGGAATCCCACCACCTTGTTTTGGTGCAATGCCAGCAGCCCCACCTCGACCCATGGTTATGCAAACGATTCCAGGTCCTGGGATGCCCCCTGGTACATTGCCATGTCCAACTATGCCACCTATGCCGATGATGGGTCCTCCACCACTTCCAGGCATGCCTCCAATGCCGCATCCTATGTCACATTTTCGCCCTCCAATGCCGTTTATGCCACCCGTAATGCCAGTCAGCGCCTTCCCACCAACCATGATGCAACCAAGAGTTGTGGATGATATATGGGTTGAAAACCTTACGGCTGAAGGCAAGTCATATTATTACAACATGCGTACCCGTGAGACGCGCTGGGACAAACCTGAAGGTGTCACCGTTGTTCGTCAAGGTGAGGTGGAAGGCACAGTAAAGCCTGCTACTGCATTCCCAGTGGCTGCAGCGGCTGTATCTACGAGCGCTAATACACCCGTTTCAACAGCAGTCACACCTGCTAAGCCTCCGGAGGTCGCAGTATGGACAGAATATCATAATCAGGATGGGAAGGCATATTATCACAATATAAAGACTGGTGAGACTACATGGGAAAAGCCAAAGGTGTTAGTGGACTGGGAAAGTAAGTAAAGTTTCTTGATAATAACGTTATTTTACAGACAAGTCAGATCCAAACTCCAATCAGAAGGCTCCAGAACAGCCGGCTCCTACTCCAGCAGCTAAAGAAAATACAACTCCGACAAACACAACGGCACCCGTAAGTCACCGGTTACGCAGTAACCAGTTTTATTCCGGTTGTGTCACTGGCTGCTGTGTGTAGATGTGAATTTAATAGAAACTTGATTGTGTAGTAGGGATAAACTCTTAAAAGTTTACAAAGTCTTAATGTTTTCTTCGCGCTAACTCAACTTGAACACAAACTGACCGCTTTTTTCTCTTTCAGGTTGCTGAAAATAAAAAACCGGTAACAGTGGAGTCGACTGACAACTCTAAGGTAGAAAGTTCGAAGTCTGAGGCTGATAAGAATAACGCGAATGAGTCAAATGAACAGGAGTCAAAAACTGATTCCACGAAAGCGTCGAAAGATAGTAGCAGACCTGTGTCAAGCACAGCGGTACACGGGACTCCATGGTGTGTTGTATGGACAGGAGATGGTCGTGCTTTTTTCTTCAATCCTAGTCAGCGTCTCTCTGTTTGGGAAAAACCTGAAGAGCTTAAAGGTCGTGCAGACGTTGATCGACTACTGGAAAAACAACCAAATGCCCCTTCTTCAGATAAGACAAAATCACCAAAACCAAGTACGGCGAATGATGATGGTGCTGAAGCTGCTGATGGGAGTTCTGCCCCCAAAAAAGCACGTCTGTAAGCTTTGTTTGTATTTGTTAATTTTGAACAATAAGATTATATTTTCAACAAACAATGGGTTTTGAGAAAAATGGTACGTGCCAATGGGTGGGTTTCATAGGCCAGCAACATTTGCGTTGCTAATCGATAGCTATTTGTAGCGTTGGTTATCTATGCGCCACTTGATCCACAGCATCCAGTTAGTGTATGAGTAGCAGGTGGCATTAGTAATTATAAGTTAGCGGATTAGTAGCTTTAGGACGTTTTAATTGTAATTAGGAATTTAATTTCGGTGCCGAGTTAAAAAAACATTATTTCTTCTTGTAGCGAAAATGACGATGTAAATGGTGTTGCAACTGAAGCGGATGTACCTGCGGCTGAACCAGCGGAGGAGAATGATGCAGATAAGTCTGGCAGCACATTGGATAAGATCCCAGTAGGAATGGAAGCTGCCAAGGAAGCTGAAGAGAGAGCCGCCCGAGAACGAGCTGTACAGCCGTTGGAAGTTCGTGTGCGAAGGTTCAGGGAAATGTTAGTTGAGATGCAGGTATGTTGGGTAACAATGAAGTTTCCGCTGTGATATCTTCGACGATTCAATACCCTCATGTCTGATCATATCGTTTACTTTTATCTAAAGGTTTCAGCATTTTCTACCTGGGAGAAAGAACTACATAAGATTGTGTTCGATCCGCGTTATCTACTACTGGCAAGTAAAGAAAGAAAACAGACATTCGAAGCCTACGTCAGGGAGCGTGCTGAGGAAGAACGGCGTGAAAAGAAAAGTAAACTAAAAGAGAAAAAAGAAAAGTTCATAGAACTAATGGATGAGGCGGGACTAAACTCAAAGTGAGTTTTTATAGAAGTGTCAATGGTAGCGTTTAAAGTACGTCGTATCCATTTAAGCTATCTGAAGTTTTTTGCATCAGTTAGTGCCAAACACTTAGTCGCATTTTTATAATCCCTAGTCATGATGCATTACTTATCATCAGTGGACTATACATTTCAGTTTCCTTCATCGTCTGATGCCGTGAAATTAGTGAACAGTTTTTGTGTTGTTATACTGCCAGTTCTGTTTCTTCGACATTTGCGAAGTACATCTCCATTCAGATCCTGTTTCTTTGATATTCATGTACAGGCGTAGTTTGGGGAACGTTTTCTAAGTGCTCACATGTTTTAATGTAGACTACTGAGATTTGTACGTTATAATCGATATTGATTAGAGGTCATGGAAGGGTCTCACAACCATGCCCTAACATATATCGATCCAGAAGTCTATGATTGACATATGTGGCTTGTTTTATGTACTCAACATGAGTCCCAGACTCACCTTATCTACTTAAGCATGGATAACCAAGTAGTAACTTAAGAATTTATACAGAAAGCGTGGTATATAGCCTGCTACATTAGGATACTTGTTTGGAGTAATCGAGTTACAACTAACAGATGGTCAAAAAATAGTTCGAATCTATTCGGCTATGAATGGTCCTAGTTACACAACTAACTAACCCAATTTTGAAACCATCCGTTACCAAAGAAATGTGGCCGCACATTACCTGTAGACAGCTAAAGATCTGTTGAGTAGTTTACCCTTTTGAGTGTTTCCTACGGTGTCCTTTCATAGCTTCAGGGCATAACACTTTCGCGGACAGTACATAATATTAGACAAGGTGATCGTACAATTAAAGTTGTTTGTGTTCTGTCCAAGACATATACTACACATGCAAAATTCTGCCAACTAAATGAAATAAGAACGTGTCTTATGTACATCATTGCTGTTTTTTAGGTCTTCATATAGTGATTTCGCTGCCAAGTATTCCAAAGATGATCGCTTTAAGGGAATCGAAAAATCTCGTGATCGTGAAGCTATGTTTCAAGATTACCTGGCCGACTTACGTAAACGGGAAAAGGAGGACAAGCATCGTGAAAAAGAGAAAGTATGTTCATTGTATGGTGATGTGTGTTAACTTACATTAAGCATTAAAAAACCCCACAGACTGAATTAATACAGGTATATCCTGAATGTCTCACAACTCGAAAGTATTAGTGGTCTCTATTTCTCTGAGGTATTCAGATTTTAAACATTCCTGAATTCAGAGATTAAACACTGAAATGTCAGTTTTTGACTTACAGTTTGACGTTTCGCAAATAGTAAGGGTGTAGTTTTCTGGTATCAGTAAGGAAATTACCAAAACTTACTAATGTCCACTGTCAGTTTCATGGAACACGATACTGTGCGACGAATTCACTTAACAGGCGGTGTGTAAATATTCCACCACTTGTAAGTGTCAGCAGTTGTCTTGAAATTTGTTTGAGATCGCTGTGCTTCGAACAGACTTTTCATTATTGATTTTCTTTTCTGTATATTGGATTTTAAATTGAACTAGTGCTTGTGTGTGAGCCTCCTCAAATATCCCATTCACATATTTTCAGGTTTTAGGGAGGCCTCACAATTTGGCACTACAAACGTCTTAACCTGCTTTTCTCAGTATGTAACTGCTAAATTTCTGTGAAATAATGTTTCATAAATTTCGTAACAATAAGTAGTGCATTGTTATCATAACAAAGGTGTAATAATAAGTTACTTTTGAAGATTACTTAATTGCATCAAACATTGTTCTGTACTCCTCTCTATCAGAGTAGTCCTTTAAGATTTAATGACGCATACTTTCGAAATGAGTTCTTTTTCAGGTATGAGCACTAATTTTCATGTTCAATGCTAGTTTTCTTTGAAGATGCACTGATATGAAAATTTGTATGCTTCTAGAATAGTTCAAAGGTTGCTTATCATACATCCTTTTAGTGAGACATTATCAATGCTTTTATCACAGGAAAAGGAAGTCGTAGAAAGTAATCCATCGCATTTTACGTTGTCATTGTGTTATTATCCTCACGATTATTTTGATATGCAAATTTTTTTCCCAAATTATTTATTTATGTTTAAGAATTCATTCATCACTTTATAATAAGCCTTTTGCTTATTCGTTACTTTGTTCAGAAACACGTATAATGAATGATTCAGTCCAAAACACACGGAAAATAAGCTGAATACGGTCACTTGGGATCAAAATGTGCTTCTGATTTATATCTTTCTAAATTACCCAGTTCTGTTTCACGTTTGGCAATGCAAATGCTACTATTGAAACATGTCATAGGTAGCCATGCAGTTTGTTGGGCTAGGAAGCTTTTATCAAGTTACTATTCGGTCTACATTGGGATATTCTAGGTTTGCAAAGTGCTAACACGAATTATGCTGAAACAAGCGATCACCTGTTAAAAAATTGCTTCACTAGACAGACAAACTGGTTATAGCAGGATGGAAGAATTTTGTTTATGTACTCAAAGTGTGTATGCTGTCGTGGGGAGTATTCATATCACCATTAGCTTAGAAACAACTAGCTTGTTTTCATTAGGTCAGGAATTCATTCCTATTTATTGCTCCGGATATAATATATTTTTACTTTTTACTATGGTTTTTACATTAAACTTTGTTTCATTGAATGATGCACCGACTGCACATGTCTCGAATATTTAGTTTATTTGTCACTGAACTAGTCATCGACAAACCCAAATAAAGGCGTTTATCAAATTATAACTATAAAAAGGAAACACTTCGTGAAAAAACCCTAGTAATTGGTTACTATGCTCTGAAATTTAAAGTGGTTTTCCAAATGAATACTAATTGCAGTCGTGTATCCTATCCATCAATAGGTATGTTAAAAATTATTCTGATTTGTGTGTATACCTGTGCATATATTTATTAACTAGTAAGAAACTTTATCGCTCTGGAAATGTGAAACATAAAACAGGTTTCATAGAGTCGAATTAAGAAAAGCAACTTACCTATGGTCACTGTTTAAACATGAGATTTTATTCACCAACAATTGAATACTCATCAATAATGCTAAGCCAATGGGGATACCCAGTGTTTTTGCATATAAATGACCATTTTTAATCGAAGAGTTATCTATTTTTTAACCATTATTATCGTTCAAACTTTAACCTGAAGTAATCAGTTAGCATAGAGGATTAGCATCCTTTCAGTAAACGGAAAAATTAATCAAAGTGCTTGTTATTTTCCCACAGTTGGAACTGTGGGATAATGTACAACGTGCTTGGGATTGATCAGTAACGTTGATTTGACCTATAGCTGTTGAAGTGGTTGGTGATATTCGTTTGAATGACGTAACTCCATCATAGAGATGCTGACGTCATTCGTTCGTCACTCTTATAGCATGCTTAATGTCTCATTGGCGTAGTTCAGACAGATTTTACCGTTACTTCCTTAGTAGCCTACATCTGACACCATACAGAAATATAAATACCAACGTAAAGGCGTTTGAAGGATCTATTAAGACGGTGGATTGTGTGGTGAGAGTCAGTTGTACCTTCATGCACCTACCATCTATCATATTCAATAAATGTGTTGCTAAACTTGAATATGGTACTAACCCTTCATCAGTATCCTCGATAAAGTGTTGGAGTTAATGTCTGTGGGATTCCGAGAACATAGTGAAGCTTTCCACTTGTAATGTACTTGAGTAGTGTTGATATTTGGAGTCCTAGTCCTCACCTTAAATCAACGGGTACTAAGAAAATAACATCTTAAAGGTGACTGTCAAGGATGGAAGTAAAATTTAAGTGTTTACCTTCAAGAAATTTCACAGTGAATGACTTGTCGTGTTTTGAGCTTGTTTACCTATAGCATAAATGGCTGCAAAAATGGACATGCGCGAAGCATTCTAAAAAACAACCGATCTCGCTAAAGTATGCTTATCGCCAAATTTCAATACTGTGATAAGTATTTGAATAAACAAAATTATTACACTGCTAGTTTTTGTTAAGAATTTTCAAGTGTACAGTTCGTGTCTTGAACGAACTCGAAGTTTATTGGAGACTGCTGCTCTATTGTTAAGCTTAATTACTACCATATAACTAAATAATTTAAAAAGCTACTGGTAAGGGCGAATTAATTATTTAGTTTTTTTGGATGAGTAATTCTAGCGTTTTGTTCCATTTAAACTGTACTCACTATGGTTTCAACAGAAATAACGAGTTTCAAGTTGAGAATGCAATTTCAAAGTAAATCACAACTGTTTGTTTCGTAACTTCATCTTTCGAAAGTCTAAGTCGCTCAACATATACATATATATTTCATGAAAGTCGGTTAGAATTAGATAACTTCTTGAAAATTAGCTATTTTCCTACAGCCAACCACGTTTTGTTTGCAGGCAATTTCTTTATTTACGACTTTTTTGTATGTGTGTGCAACATGTCTTTATACAAAGTTGTTCTTGAACCTCAATGTCTACTTTAATATTTCCACACATAGTTGCTGCATGACTGATCATATTATCATATAGACTTAGTGAGTTTCAATAATGTGCACTAACTTTTCCGAAACTGAGTCAAAATATGCTCTTGATGCTTCAAGATGCTATTGGAAGTAAATTTTCATTTCTTCTTATTATGCTTATGATCCCTGGACTTACCAGGATGTATGATCACTCTAATGTCATAAAAATTTCAGGATTTTGGGCTTAAAGTGTTTATAAAAATTGGGTAGTAATTCACTTGGACTATCGCGTTGGCTCTATATCAACAGCATGGAGATAAATAGAGAGAAGTAAATCGACTTGAAGTTTTCAGGTATACAGTTGCAAAAGTTGATTTTGGAAGACGTACGCTTAACTGTTTCCTAACATCAGCTAAAAATTGTAAGTAATATGTAACATGAACCAAAACAATTTTTTTGAGTTTTCGTTATAACAGCTAAAAAAGAACAGTTATCCACCGGGACCTGAGAGATGTCCGATCATATAAAGTATGACAATTTTCGTTTTTCCGTGATTAAGCTGTGTGTGCGTTGTGAATGTATCGAGATACATTTATTTTTTGCGAAAAGTAATGGTATCGTATGCGTTTGCAAATAACGTGAATGCGCGTGCTTATATTCCTCCTTTTTTGTGCATTTGCCCCCCCCCCCCCCTTACCATACGTTCAAGTAAACTGAAAGCGGAATTCGACTTTCATGATTAGAGTTTGAAAGCAAGTTAGTAGAATACACAATATAACTGTCAAGTTGTTCATAGGACGAGAGTTGTTGCATAAATTGGTTAAATCGGCATCAATCTCCATTAGTTGTTATTTGATAAATTATTTAATTTGGCTTGCATATTTTGGATCATCTTCATTTAATAACCACAATCTGTACTTATTAGGTTCAATAAATCTATGAAATTCGCTTTCAAGAGGAATCGGAAAGCTACATTGATGAGACACACCACACACAGAGAGAGATGGGTTCCTAACAAATCAGTATCACTTCTGATTTTCAATTCTCTCAGGTTTGTTATGTCTTAGTTTTTAGCGGACCCATTGTAAGAATTACTTTAATAAAGCCGTCTACTTGTGTAAATGTATTTTCGGCTGTACATGCATGCATACTTAGTTGTAAAATTTAAAACAACAATATATTCACAACTTGAGTGAAAGAGTCGAAAAATAATTTCGTCGTGATTAGATATTATTTATATAGTCCACGGGACGATGTTGAATATCGATCGATAAGTCCTTTGTCATAATGCCAGTTGTTTTCAAAAGTATGTATGGATTGAACATACAGATGATCTCGGTGTCGACATTAACAGTCGTAAATCTCAGTAACTTGATCTACTCACAAAATGCTGGCAAGACGAAGATGAAATGTTATAGGATATTTAATTTCTAACTATTTGTTTACACTAGTTTGACAGCATTCCGTTTTATTTACATACAACCGACTGTAAAACGTTCTTTAGTCGTAGCGTACATGAAGATATTTAGTGAACTGTTTTTGTTCAATGTGGGCGGGGAGCTGGTAACAATTAACCTAATTATTCATGTATGTCACAGAGTTAAACAGCTCTCAAAAGTGTGTGTTAACGATATGTTGTTATTTGATACATCTATATCCTGATGAAGTTGATTCCTAGTGAATGAAAGAGGCTTCTATCACTCAACTTGAATAAGGTGGAAAAACGGAGCTGTTGAGAATCTTGTAAACCATTATTCCATTGCAAACATACATACATGCTACAGATACATGAGAATAGTTGTTAATCATAGTGCTTAAAATTTGCATTAAAGGTAATTACAATTCTTCAAACATGTAAGTTTACTCGCGCACCATATTTTTCGTCTGAACGACTCTATTCCCTTTGTACATCACAATATTCTGGCTTATCTTTCGTGTACTACCTTTTGCGTCGAGTTTCTTCTCTAGTAGTCAAACATTTTGAAATTAAAAAAAAAGTTTCAGCAACCAGTTTTACCTACGCTGAGAGTATTCTATGTACGTAAACTTCTCTAGGAAGACACATGCTCCCTTCACTTTGTTTGTCTTCGTTGTGTGAGCCTTCTCTAGTTAGATATTTTGGCTTCTTAAGCGTTATTATACAGGTTTGTTTCGTGGAAGACAATAATCACAGCAAAAGAAAAACATGATGTTGTAAAAGCAGTTCACTTGTGTTATTGTTATATACTTTCTAACATGACCATTTTTCCGTATGTAGGTCAAACTGGATTTCTTCAATTTGTTGAAAGAACAGAAAGGCATAACTCGATATACTCATTGGACAGATGTAAAGCGCAAAGTGGATTCTGATCCTCGGTATAAAGCTGTAGATTCCTCCTCAAAAAGAGAGGATTTGTTCAGAGAGTTTATTCGTAAGCTTGACGAAGTAAGTCCTTTTTAAAGTTGTTACCTGTTAAATTTCCTAATTTCGATATGTTCTAGTAAAGATTATCTTCAGGTATTGAGTATGTCCCCTTTGACATGGTATTCAGTTATGCCATATTTTCGATCAGTGATATTAGAAAGCTTTCACTATTGAAGTCCTCAGATAATTAAAAAAGTTTTCGCGAATTTATATCAAACTTTACCATGTTGTTGGATTGAGTTATCATTATTGATGCGGTGTACTCCTAAAACAGTTACTGGTTTTCTCTTTGTGCCCATACTGCTGTAGCATTTTCAATAGATGCTTATGCCACTTAATCATTGATACGGCCGGAGAGTGAGTAGACTTCAGTCTTCCCCTCGAATCGCTCTCCTGGGGACACGCGTTCGTATCCGCCTCCATCGGTAAATCTTGATCACTGCCTTCACTCGGTGTCAGTGTTCTTCACAAAAGTGGAAGAGCGGATACGATGGGACTGAGCGACATGTTGGTATACTTTTGAAAGCTGAAAAACTTTGATTTTTAACCCATGATAGTGCACGTGGGCTCCGCGCTCCGATACTATCAAATGCTGTATGAACCCGTTGTGATAGTTGGAAACCATATCGACGTAGCTCCTGCTACTGCTTCACTGCTTTGTGAATCAGAATTAAAGACGAAGGCTAGGTAGGTGGCATCTTTAGGCAACCACCTACTTCGGCCTAGGCATCCGCGTAATATTCCATCCCTCGCACAGACTATGAGATTTCGCGTTGTGTTGGAAATTCCACGCTGCATCATAAGTACTCTATTGTAATAAAGCAAATTATTTTTATAATTGCCAGTTTTGTGTTTTTTTGATAATAATAGTTTCTTATTGAAAGTTTCTTTGTCTTATCATCATCATCTGTCTACGTTACTTTGTCTAGACTCCTGCTGTTCGAGAAGACAGTTATACACGAAAAGAGCGAGAGAAGAAAGAACGTCAAGAAGCCTCCATAAGAGAACGTGAGAAGGAAGTGAAAGAAGCGTTATCTTCTTCGTTAAGAGAAAGAGACAAGGAACGGGAACAGCATTTACGCAACGAGCAAGAGACAAATTTCCATACAATGCTACAGGATTTGATACGTGATCCTAGTCTTACATGGAAAGAAGCAAAGAAAATACTTCGCAAAGATCCTCGATGGGAAGGTGTTAGTGATGTGTTTGAACGATCAGAACGAGAAGAAATGTTTGAGGAGCACATCAATAATTTATCAAAAAAGTCTCGAGAGATATTTCATCGTTTGTTGAGTGAAACCGAAGGAGTAAGTTGACTGATTCATCCCGTCTCAACCTTTCCCTTTTCTTTTTTCTTAGATGTCTTTTGATTTATCCTGGAAAGAAGCGAAAAAGATAATTAATACTGATCCTCGTTTTGAAAAGATTCCAAGCGATAGAGTATGTTCAGTTTTTATATCATGCATAATCGTGTTTGTTTAGAAAAAAGAATCAGAATTCAGCCTATGGGTTGATATGAAAAAAAATCAGGCTAAAGAAGCTTTTAAAGAACTTCTCAAAGAAACTAAGATAATCAATGCTCGGTAAGTTATCTGTTATATATACTGCTTACACGACTATATGTAAATAACAGAACTAAGAGAACTCTTGAGGAGAATGAAAATCATATAGCCGATATAATGGAAGCTCTTGAGGTATGTAAAACGCTCTGAATTTCAAAATTTGCTTATGTTTTTTCCGAAACATCCATGATTAAAAAATAAAAAATTGTTTGCTTCTTTATATTTTTAGAAAGATAAAAGGTTCATCGCTTTAGACGCTTTCGAGGATGAACGCAATTCCCTGATAGAAGATTATATTGACAGTTTAGACAAAAAGCGTACACCAACTCCAGTCTCTATATCGTCGAAAGAACCCACCAATCGACGATAGAACCTATAAAACACAGTGAACATCAATCTCTATCTTCATTTTGCATTTTTTCTCTTTCTCTCTCTCTCTCCTTTGGATTCATCAAAGTCTACACATATTTTCTCGCTCTTCTTTTTTCATACACACCTAGTTTTGTCACATATACTCTTTCAAGTTCTTAAAATTTCATAATAGAATGTTGTTGGTACAACTCTCTGAAGATAACTTGTAATACTTGTTATACTGTTAAATAAAAACAACTTGAAAATCTGGTTTTCTTTTGTTATTTTCTAAAACAATCTGGTTAAGTGTGTGGTCTAGTGAAATTTTGTGAAGCAGTCGTCATTTTCTGGAGTGTTCAACATTACTTATTAATCATTGATGTCGGGGATGTGGTTCATTGGCTCTTCAAACTCTTGACTTTCAGCCAATGAGTATCGGATTTGAATATCCCTCCCCGTTTAGTTCAACCTAGCCCGTGTGGGTGGGTGGGTGGTATAGCCAAGCCTCACACACATCGAGCATGGCTTATTATATGTATAAAGCTTGACTTGTGAAATATCTGTTCAGATAATCGTCGATTATCAACCATGAAGTTATCGTGATACCATGTAGTGGTGGTGGTTATTGGCAATATCAAGTTGATTGATATAGCAATATTTATTAATTCTCTATAGCTGGTTTGTTGTAGGGATTAGTTATGTTTTTTTACGAGTTGACCACGGGTTGATATCAGTTAAAGAGAACCATTGAAAACCTGGATGAAACGGCTGTCCAGTACTCCCTGGCTGGTTTTAAATGGTTCTCTAACTGATATCAATCCGCGATCAACTTGTAAAAAATATTTATTAATCTCAAGGGACCATGACAAGTGTAACACTGTTCAGAATTAAAGTTGTGATTAAAAATGTAGTTATCTTTTATTTTGTTTTGATTTTTCACAAATGTTGGCTGTTTTAACTGACTGTAGATGGGTTAGAAATCGAAATTATCGATAATACTGATTCTATAATACTGATGAATTATTACGTGGTTTGTTTAGATTTGACCATTGTTGTTACGATATGAAGCGTAGGCTTGTGTTTTCCCATCTATAAATGATTAATAATATTTAGGAATTACTGGAAGAAAGTTCATCTTCAGTTTATTGTAGCTTAATTCACTGTCCACTGATGAATGAGTTTCTGTCCTTTTAATACCTGTTGAACTTGTTCAGTTAATTGCGATAATTGAACTCAAGGTGACTAGGAGAAATTTCGGGAATTAGCATACCTAATTACTTTTGAATTTAATTGGTGGATGGTGACTACCAATGAAATAATCCATGGTGTGCAGTTTGTTCTATCCAGGACTCGTCAGCTGGATGTACCTGCATTTCCAGTGAGTGATGATGTTCCCGCCGAGGCTCGAACACAGTGCCCATTGTTTCACCATCCACCTATTAACTTCTAAATAAAATGCCCAGACATTGTCGAAGTATCTGCACAGGAAGCCGACCCGCAGTCTGGGACCCCCCAAGCACTTTGGTCCAATCAATCGACAGGAAAATATAAAATGCAATTAAATTTTTATTACTTTTCATACTTATAGCAATAATCTCATAGATTAGAAGCTTATGATTTTACAGACTCAAATGTTCTCGTACTGTTGAGTAAAAGAGAGATAGACAGAGAGAGGAATGAGGTTCACCCATCCTTAGGTCCGATCATACCTGAACATGCAATCCAATCTAGTTTGAAACAACTAATAAAAATAGCAAAATAAATGCATTTAGATTATGCGTTGTATTATTTATACTAAGATTATGAAAAAAAACTTATCAAAATACTGTGGGCTAAGCTAATGTTCATTCACGTGCTTTTTAGAAATCGCAATGTCCTCTTCCCCCTCCTCTTCTTCTGCTAATGTGAATAACACTATCGAGTTACACACACTGAACTTATTCACGTTGAATTCAAGTGAAACTGAACCCAGAGATAATTTGAAGAGAGACAGTTTAATGTAAGTCTAATGCGTTGGTTCACTTGCAATAAGTGGATATCCGTGTTTCTTTTTTTGTTTTGAATTTTTTCTTTTTTCAAAGCTATTTTGATGTGTTAGAGTATTTTATTGGCTGCAGCCTAATAGTTTTCGTGTGAATCTACGATTGAACTGTTAAGCTTCTAGTGTGTGTTGTTCTAAGCGATATCAGTTTTACTATGCAATCTTGTCAATACCCTTAGTTATGTATTATAAAATATTTTATCTGTAAAGTCCTATTAATCAATGAGTGAACATTTTGGATCAATAATTTTTGACATTCAGGTTTCATCGGATTGCGTACATGCGTTAACAGTTGACACTCGTGAATTACAGCCTCCTAATTCTCTCTGGTCCTCATTGCAGCATGCTGTAAGGACATAAATATGTTTATGTTTGCTCAAACCAATAGTTCTGAATAACGTGTTTCATTTTACAAGTCTACAGTTATAGTTTATCCCCATTGTTCGAATTCGTAGTCTCAATTCTGCTTTACCTGATTAGGTCGATATCGGTCTTATTGTAATGGACGTTGAGTGCTTTTTAAGAGTGAGGAGTCAGTGAATGTATAAGACTATATCGGTTGGAACGGCTAGGATACATGTTGCACATACCGAGCCACCGGTTAGGTAGACAAGCTTGATTAGTCGTATCTTTAACTAGTCGACATATTTATAAACTGGTTGTTCACCCATATCATTTCTGTCTGGTGCGAACTGCTAACGAAATGGGTTACTCACTACCACCCAATCAATATATCAGTCATTGTTCTACAGGTGATTTGAATGGCTCAGTGATAACATCCCTGAATGTGCAGTGCTGGGTGGCTTACGCTTGATACTGTGGCAGGGAAATCAATTCCATCGTCGTAAATGTGCCTTGCGATTTTTTTAATATGGCCATTCGAAGTGAATGATAAGGCTAGCTGTCTTTCGTCATAGGTATCTACGTCCTGTCTCCCTCGTAATAGGGTATAATAAGGTGAGGTTAAATGTTGAGTAAGAAGGGAAAGTTACTTGGATTGAGGTGGTTAGGGCATGTGTTACGCATGCGTCCCTAGCCATCGCATTCCTCGACGGGAAATGTCAATTGACATAGGTTGAGGTCGCTAAACAGCTAGTGGCCGACAAATCAAAACATGGTCAATGAATCCATAACAGTTAGTTTAAGCCACCCACATTGGAATATGTAGGCTCGCTGGCTGACTAGTTGGGGTCCTCGGGATGGTGAAAGCCAGTATGGTCTAAAGTGATCGTTCTCAATGACTGGTGCAGATGCATTCACTCTTTGTGATTAACCAGTCATATCCAATGTAACTATTGTTCTTCCATGTTACTATTCTTTTCGCCTCACTCACACTTCTGTTTATTATCTTTTTTCTGTTTTAAGTTTGTCCTTACTCTTTTCTCTTGCTTTGTGTTCAACATGGAGGCGGTGAGGTGACTCTAACTGGTGTACATCTGTGCAGAGTTCTATGTTGAAACTAGTATGTCAGTCAGCTACATTTGGAACACCGTTGATTTCATGCTCTACAGGTAAAGGTCTGATGACGGGGAGATGTAGTTCAGCTGTAGGCTAGTGGAATCGCTTCTCACAATCTCCTGCCCAAAATTTCAGCTGTCTGTCTCTCGAAAAGTAATTGGAGTATCATTTTTTCAAGTGATTCAACTTACCTTAGGTTTTTTACAATGCGTTATCTTGATGAGCTGAAATAGTTGTCGGATATTGTGTACTTTTGAGGCATTTTACATTCCTAACCCTTTTGTGAGTCGTTCACCACTGTTGCGAAGACTTTTAGTAAGCTTTCGCCTCCCGTATGTTTGGAGCCTGCCTGTATCCATTATCTTGCCTCCATCAGTAAGAATAAAGCTTCAGGGAAACACTACTATAAACTAACTTTTAATTGCAGGTTATTGGTAGCCTTTATCACCATTTTTGCGTCAGTCTGAATGTGATGTACTGTTTTCTCAGTATAAAGATAGTTTTCATGTTCAGATAAGTTCTTAGGTATCTAGTGACTCATAAATATCACATTACTAACTGATTAGGTTAAGTACTTGACTTCCATTCAATAGGTCTCAGGATGGAGTGTTGCAACGCCTACTTTAGCCTAGGCAGTAAGTGTGACTTGCAGTGCTCAGTAACGGAAAGCTGAATTGTATAACTGACGCTACTATGTTCTCAATTAGAAGCTAGACAAGTATGGCCTTTGTAGCTGCTTGTTTTTCACGTCTGTTAGTCGTGGGAGGCAATACGCATATGCGCATTGATGTGTTTCCGAATGAAAGTGAAAATCATCCAAACAATCAACTCTTTCTGGAGGCTGACAGCAGTTCGGTGGTCTGTTTTGCCTGTTGTTCACCTAGTGTCAGTAGTAATTCTGTGTACTAGGTTATAAACCACAACATGCTGCTTAACTGGGAGGTGTTTGAAAAGTAGTGCGATGGATTAACCAAATGTGATAAACGTTGCTCAGGTTATTTCGAGATAATGCATATCTAAAGGCGATTCAGACAGCCTTAACAGTAATACCTTTAAGAAGTTATATGCGGTGAGGGAATTAAATCTTAGGTATGAATGCATAAAATAATCATAATAGTATGAAATGCAATTAAAAAACTAAAATGTTTGTGATTATACTCATAGTTAAATGTCAAGTGGCAAAGCAAATTAATGTCATATATAGAATCATTCGTAGGATGGATAGAACTTGAAAAAGGGTGTGTAATTATGGGATTAGTAGACAAATCGAATAAAGAAAGAAAGAAAGAAATAATTCAAGTGGTAAAATAAAGTAAAAACTAGAAAGAACATTACTATGACCAAGGTAAAGAAACGGGTTTGACAAAACGCTTTTGAACACATAATTTAGGTTTCTGTTCATGTATAGCTAAAGCTTCGGCTATGCATAAGTGAAGAAAACGTAAACTTTTGGATCGATCCGATTTTGCCATGTAGATGTGTCACTTAATAACCCTTTTCTGTAATATAAATACGAATGTACAGCTTGAAAATGAAGTCGTTGAAAATAAAGTTCTTCGCTGGACCAAAAAAAACTGTTTTTACTTATAAAACTAAAATGTTTGTGATTATAATCATAGTTAAATGTCAAGTGGTTTTTTTTTTCCGTTTTGGCCCACTTCTTCTTTGGAAGGCGGGACCGCGGCCACGCTATACCACCGACGCACCAAGTGGTAAAGCAATTAATGTCATATATAGAATAATTCATAGGATGAACAGAACTTGAAAAGGATGTGCAATTATGGCATTAGTAGACGAATCGAATAAGATAAAAACGTTACGTAATCTGGTGTGAGATTTAATAGCATAGAATTTATCGTTGTAAAAGAGAATTGATTTAGAATGACAAGTGAAATAATACCGGGGACAGTTCAAAGTGAGAATAGTAATAGTGACAATTGTCGTAATAAGGATGAGTATACAAATTGAATAGACAAAATAAAAATTTATAGAGCTAAAATATGATTGGTGATTACCATACTTTAGCATAGAGGGAAAGTTGGAGGGGTTGAACGAACTTTTTCTGTACACAGAGATCTGGCTTTTCTGTTTCGATAGCCAAAGCTTTAGCAATACATATGAGTCGGGTACGTAGAGGTTTGGGTAAATTACTCTTTCCCTTGTAGACAAATTCAAAGGTGAAAGCTATAGATAGGGTGATCATTATCGACCAGATGTTCAGTGATGGCGCTTCTTATTGCTCCACTTCTAGGTTTTCGTAGCCATGCAGACTAGTGTTCTTGCACCCTCTTGGACAAAACTCGAGTCGAATGACCGATATACCTAGCTCCACACGAGTAGGTGAATTGATAAACACACAGAGTTGGTCAACAGGGGGATCTTGTCCTTCAGGTTATTGAACATTAGTGGTCGACTAGTAAAGGCTATTCTCAGAGATGCGGCAGGGAATGTTCTTTACAGGGACTGTGATATCTTTCGTTTCATGATATCGGAAGCTAAGTCCCCTTTGAATTCCAAGCTCGTGTAAAGTATTTTCTTGGGTACGAATGATAAGTAACGTTTCATAGGATTTGAATTTATATTCTTATCTATAAAACGTGGTGGAAATCCATTTTCTATTAGGAATTTCCTCAAAAGGTAAAACTCATCTTTCACAGTATCAGTGCTACATATGCGCCGAATACGAGTGGTAAGCGACCGAAGCAGGTTTCGTTTTCGACAATGGGTACGACGAAACATTCCTAGAAGATTTGTCTTTTTTGTCGCAAACTAACTCAATGTTGAACAAGTAAAAAATCAAGAAGTTGGCGAAAAAGTCAACGAAGACATGACTTCAGAAACAGCTCTTGAATTTTTGTCAACAGTGATGTCAAATCACTTTGTATGTAGGATTCCGAAACTTGATGTCTGTGTCACCAGAAGCATTTCCAATAGGACTGCAGGTTTTAATCAAAATTTGTCTTAGCTCCATATAATGAAGATCAGATGAATGAACGGTCGGGAAAGTTGAGCAACAACGAGGTCTGATAGTCAGCGAACCAGCTCAAAACCTGCCGCTCAACGAATATGCAGAAGGCAATGGAGGTTAATCGCTCGAGTGGAACCCGGTTTGTAGGCAGTCGACAAGTTGGACATCCTAGGGTGACATGGAGATGATAATAATATGGAAAGGATGTGAGGGTTTTCAGGCAGTTGAAAATGATGACTGAGACTCGAATGAAATGCATATGTGCATATATTCCACTTGAAACCTGAGGAAATGAATGCCAATGATCAATAAATCGAATTAATCGTTGAAATAAAAAATCTTCACAATGATTCTCTCAATAGATCTCACTGTGGATTAAAATCTCTGTTTTTTTAAGCGTAGAAATTAATTGATTGTAAAATTGACGATCTTTCATTTGGTTGAATTATACACATTCACAGTAATATGGTTGGCTGTTATATGTTATATTGTAACAGCAGAAGGCAACACACGGAAGCCAAGTTATATTTTC